CCTGGGTGGCTCCGTGGGTTAAAGCCTCTGCCTTCGGCTCAGGTCATGATCTCAGGGTCCTGGGATCGAGCCCTGCATGGGGCTTTCTGCTCAGCAGGGAGCCTGCTTCCTCCTCTCTCTCTGCCTGCCTCTATGCCTACTTGTGATCTCTGTCTAATAATAAGTAAAACTAAAAAAAAAAAAAAACCATGAAATATGGTCATGGATTCTTATCTCTGCTCGACAGAGAGAGGATCGCAATGGTTCATCTCTGCTCCACTGTGTCTGGGGCCTTTTCTGGAAGACTCGATGGTTGGGGGCTGGAATCATCTGGAAGCTTATTTGCTCACATGTCTCGCACTTGATGCTGGCTATTGGCAAAGATTTTAGCTGCAGTTTTCAGCCTGAATGTCTGCACGTGGCTTCTCTGTGTGGCCTGAGGTCCCTCATAGCCACAGTGGCTGGGTCCGAGGGCCAGTGTCCCCAGAGCAAGAGAGAAAGCTGGAAGTCTCGGAAGTCACTTCCACTACCCTTTAAGGGTGAAGACAGTCAAAAGCCTACTTGAGCTGAAGGAGAGAAGAACGTCTACGCTTTTGACAAGGTGCTAAAGAACACGTGGGCACAAAGATACTTCCGTGGCCATTTTTTCAGAAAATGAAATCTCCCCTCCCCTCACCCCCATCTCTTGGGTACCCTGCTTGGTTCCAGGCTTCTTTCCATCCTCTGTCTCCACCATGCCCTCTGGAACTCCCCACAGCTCCACCTCCTGGGACACATGAAATGATCCTCTCTCCTAAGCACATGCCTTCCCCCTCCCCCAAACCCCCCTCTGCCCCCCACTCCATCCTCCTGGTGAAAGCTGTCCCTTCTCCTGCTGGGATTCCCTGCCCAGGTTCCCAACATGACTTTCTTGGCTGCTCAGCCCCATACTCAGTCCCGAGAGAGGTGGGGATACAAAGGAAGAAAGGGAATCCAAGGGACCTTAGGGTCCAGAGGGAGATGGGGCCCACACACCTGACACAGATATTTTTAAACTTGCAGCTTCTAACAAAACCGCTGGTACAACCTCAGGAACAGAAGTCTGTGGTCAGAGAAGGTTATGAACTCATGTCCTTGGACTTGCAACAGCAAGAGAGGGGAGTGTGGGGGATGCTGATGCCTCCAGATCATTATTCCTCCACCTTCCTGGGGAAAAGCCTTCTCTGAGGGCCTGGGGTGGGCCCCCGAGTCCCTTCTCCTCACTGTCATCTCTCAAACACCTTCCTGGCCACTCCTTCACATTCTCCAGAAGCGTCACCTCTTCACTGCATCACCATCAACACTGGTCACCATCAACATCCGTAGGCTGGCCACCTCAACTCCTTGGTCTCACAGTTCTCCTTCCTTCATGCCTCCGAAGACCTTTGTCTCTAACCTGGATCTTGACAGAACCCATGACTGCCCCCCCGCCCCGTGTAATCTCCTGGGACATCGTCCTCCTCTCTGACCACAGCGGCCAGTGCTCCACGCCTTCTCTCCCTCACCACCACTCTACCTGTTCTCCAAGTCTCCAAGGGCCTTGACCGCTCGCTCCATAGTCTCCCAATGCATCAGCCTTCCTGGTGGCAGGGCCGTCAAGAGTTACCATTCAAAGTCATCCTTGCCAACGCCCTCCATTCCCTTGGTCCCTTTTCCCTCTAGCTTTTCCCCCTGGAAGACCCCAAGCCTCCTAATCTCACCTCCCATCTTCTCCTGCACCCGAGCTGCAAGGTGATTCCAGAGAAAGTGAAGCAGATTGTAAACCAACATGCGTGTACGGAGAGAGCAACCTCCAAGGCCTCCAAGGATGTCCAAGTCCTAATTCCTGGAACCTGCGAATGTGTCACTTTATGTGGCAGACGTGATTAAAGTAAGGGTCTTGAGATGAGGAGCTGTTCCTGGATTAGCTGGGTGTGCCCAGTGTCATCACAAGGGTCCATCTAAGGGCAAGAGGGAGTTAGCATCTCAAAGGAGACATGATGACAGAAGCAGAGGTCAGCATGGCACCTTCCTGGACCTCAAAGATGGAAGAACTCCTGGTCCCCTGGGATCATAGCATGGAATTGGGGGCAGCAAGCCTGATGCAACAGAGGGTCTGAACTGAACAGTGCACGGAGGCAGATGAAGTGGTGTAAAGAGGTTGGACCAATCGGGTGGCGCCGTGCTTTTTTATAGTATCTTAAGACCAAATGCCCAAGGCCATGGCACAGCCTAATTAAGGTTGAGCTCAAAATTAGATCAGCACGTTGCCGGGGAAGACTTATTCGGCCCCCTCCCAGGTGTGCCCTGGCCCCAACTCCAAATGAGGTCCACCTCTGGGAGATCTTTCCTTCCTTCCCCTAGTTATGTCTGGTCCTTCTTGGGAAAAGAGCAGTCATTTGGGACAAATGAGAACTGGTTCATCTGGATGAGTAAAACATAGACAACCCCCATTTTGCTGAGTGTGGCGTATCTAAAGATTGTAGAAAATGTTGGATCTCACGAGGCTGCTTCCTTTTGAACTTGACCGCAGGGGTAATGATGATGCCCTCCCAGGGTGTCCCTCTGCATCTTGAGGCAAATTAGCCATTGGTCCAAGCTGTCTGGGTCTGCCCCAGGTGCCACTGTTAAGGTCTCTATGGCCTCAAACAACATAGAAATGTCCTCTGGATTGTCTGGTGGGATAAATTATTTGAGTTTCTGTCCCCTTCTTTCAGTTCATCTGTCCACCCAGCCACCCATCAGTCATTCAACAAACGTACATGAATTTCCACCCTGGGGTCAAATCTGGGGATGTTCTCTGAGGGCACCCAGAATGAGAATGTGATATAGCCTCATTGTCTCTACCCTCCAGAAGCTTATCGCCCATCGGAGAAAGCTAATCCATCTGTGGGCTGTAAGTAATAGTAAGATCACCAGCCATCCACGACAGCCTACTCTGTTAGCTCAGATAACAAAATACTATAGAATGACTTAAACAACAGAAATGTACTTTCTCCTGACTCTGGAAGGCTGGAAGTCTTAGATCCGGGTGCCAGCCCGCTTGGGTTCTGGTGAGAGGCCTCCTACTGGGTTTCGCCGCCCTGAGTCCTCCCGTGGCAGAGAGAAAGACAGAACAAGCTGTCTGGTATCTTTTCCTTTAAGGACACTAATCCCATCATGGGGCCCCATTCCCAGGCCCTCATCTCATCTAACCACCTCCCAAAGGGCCCCACCTCCAAATAGCCTCACCTCGGGGTATGGGCTTCAACACCTGAATTGAGGGGGGACATGATTCTGCCCACAGCACCTAGCCCAGGCTAAGCTGGTAAAGAGCATTATCCCCGATGCTCCCCAGCTCCCCAGCCAGCATTTAAGATGCAGGAAGGCAGCTTAGGGAGGTTGAAGAGCCCAGTGAGGCAGAGCAGGCTCTGATCCATGGCTGGCCACTCCACCCCACTCCTCCCCCCAACCCCCTCCCCCGCAGGCTGGTTCCCCAGAACGCTGTCCTCCCTCCATGCCCTGGGAAGGGGAGGGCCCCTGCAGCAGGTGCGGTCGTCCCCCAGCCCCGCCTCCCAGCAAACGCCAGCAATCACCAGCCCAGCAAGGTTCTGGAGAGCAGCATGGGCGGCCTGGCAGCAGCCTCAATGAGCAGACGCGGTCTGTTTGGAGGAGTTTTAGGAAACGGGGCTGGGGGGTGGGGAGGACGACTCTACTCGCCTGCAACCCCTGGAGCTGCCCACATGGGGCAGGTTTACACACAAAGGCCACGTCAAGAGGAAGGGGCCATCCATCTTTAATGCTCTGCTCCCTGGGTTGGAGGACTCAGGACTCCCCATGCTGCACAAGCCTGCCCCTCACTGAGGCCAGGAGGGGGGGGGGGGGGGGGGGGGGGGGGACAGAGGCAGGGGGCAGGGAGAGAGGGAGGGCAGGGATGCAGAAGGCTGAGGGAGGATCTCTGGCAGATTTAGCACCTGGATGGGGAGGCTGGTCTGCACCATGAAGGGTGAGCAGTGACTGCCCCCCACCCGCCTGTTTTCCTTCCGGACCCAGTTGGAGGTATGGGAGGAGAACTGAGAAGGAAAAAGCAGGGGCACCTGGGTGGCTCAGTGGGTTAAGCATCTGCCTTCGGCTTGGGTCATGATCTCAGGGTCCTGGGATCGAGTCCCTTGTGTTGGGCTCCCGGCTCAGTGGGGAGCCTGCTTCTTCCTCTCCCTTTGCCCCAGCCTGCTCCACTGTGCACTCTTTTTCTCTCTCTCTCAAAAAGTAAATAAAATCTTTAAAAAAAAAAAAAAAAGCAGGCAAGAAAGAAAAGGAAAGAGCATTCCCACACTGGGCACGGTGCTGGGTAATGCTAGGCCCAGGAACCACCAGAAATCTTCCTGCAGTCTGGGGACCTACTAGGGCTCCAGACATTCTGGTAGGGGATCCCCAAGATGTCCCTTGGCAGGATCCTGAGTCCCCCAAGCCTCCAGGACAAAGGCCCACTCACACTCACCCCCACTGATGACTGGCCTGTCCAGTGTGATCGCCCACCAGACTGTGGCACCGGTGAACCCCAGGGTCCCCTGCCCCCACCCAGCAGGGCCGCCTCCTCCTGGAGCCCAAAGCAAGCAGATCCCCACACACCTAGCATCCCTGTGGCCTACCCCTCACTGCCTCCAACTCAGGTGTCCTGAGCTGCCGACTGTGGAGGTCTCAAGTCACCATCTAGAGCCTTCTCTCCTGGCCCCTCCTTAAGGTATTTTAGGTCCCAAGAGGGAAAGAAAGCCCTGAAACCTGAGGACAAGCTATCCTTGGTGACATGCCTGAGGTGCGCATTAATAGAAGCCTCGCTCAGGCCCCTGACACGTCTGGGCAGCTGCTCGGCCCCGTCTGGTGTCCCTCAGCCCCGAGGCCAGCCCCCTCTGGCTCAGCCGGATGCACTAAACTTAGCTTCTACCCCGGACTCGGTCTTCGCTGCCACCTCCCCAGCCCGGCTGCCACCTGCCCAGGAGACACTGCCACCAGACCGTGCCCAGGGCACCCACTCCTCCACCACTGCGATGTCCCAGACCAAAGCGCTGAAGGTCCGCGCCACCCTCTTCTGCATCCTGGTGGGCATCGTGCTGGCCATGGTGGCCGTGGTGACCGACCACTGGGCCGTGCTGAGCCCCGAGGTGAAACACCACAATGCCACCTGCGAGGCGGCCCACTTCGGCCTCTGGCGGATTTGCACCAAGCGTATCGTCATGACTGACAGCACCGACAAGACCTGCGGACCCATCACCCTGCCTGGGGGTAACGTACCCACTCTCTGATCCCGTCCCCGCCCAGCCCTTCCTCACCACCCCCACCCCGGGAAAGCTGCCCGTGGGAGAGAGGGCAGGTCCCCCTGCCTCGGGACAGCAACACCGCCCAGCCCTCTGTGCCCGGGGAGGAGGATCAGAACTGTGTGTGTTGTACTGGAGGCCAGAGCCGGTCTGTAGACTGAGGCCGTTGGCCTCGAGCCCTTTCTGTACCGTGGAGGCCTCCGGCTTTCCGCCCCGAGCACAGGGCTGTGCAGGTGGGACCAGAGGCTCAGGAAAGACTCCATGGCTCTGCCAGACGAGAGGCTTCTGGCCCCCGTGGGGGCCTCTCATCTGCTCTCTCCCTGCACGGACAGGCTAAGTGGCTGGAGGGGCCCTGGGGCGGGCACGTGCGTTCCGCAGCCCCCAGGCTGGATCGGCCACAAAGTGCATACGGTGGGGCGCACAGTGGAAGCGCGGGGCTCCCCTGGATTGTTCTGGAGAGTTTCAGGACGGCCACGGTGAAGGCTGCAGCCGGGTGGGGCTCTCGCCCCACTGCAGAGGCCACACCTCTGTGAAGCAGGACCTGCTCCTAAACCTGCTTTTTGTCCGAACCATCATTCCAGCGCATTCTCTGAGCTCAGACCCCTTCGGGGCTGGGAAGCATAGCTGCTGCTCAATTTTAAGTGTGTTCTTCAATTCCTGCCCCTACCCACCATGGGACTGAATGACACGTCAAAGGTGGGCTCCTCGTCAGGAACACCTGGTGTGAGGGTGACCAGACAATTCTGCAAATGGGGAGCCCCCCACGTTCATAGCAGACAGAGCCTGTGCTGCGGAAAGAGCCCTGCGTGGAGAATCGGAGGTCTGGGCTCCGTCACGCATTGCCCACGGCCCCCCAGTGACTCCGGGGTCAACAAAGCCCATTGCGGCCTCTGCTGCCTCCTGTAAAACACAGGGCTTGGGCTCAGCGACATCAAGTCCCTTCCAGGGCTCCTGGATGTCACTGTTAGGCGGCAGTGGACCAGCCTGAGTACCGGGACCCCCCTGATTTTCAGAATCATTCCCCCTGCGATCAGACTGGGTGTTCCTTGAAGTCTGCCTTCCGAGGAAGTCGGAGCTAAGTCCCCGGAGATCTCACAGTCTGTGTGTGGGACAAAGGAGCCCAAACCCCATTCCTCCACTTGTCTTTTTCCTCCTCCTTTCCCTCTTGCTGGCTCTAGAAAACTCCAGGCTTGCTCATTTCCCCCTAAGATACGCAGAAGCCTCGTAAATACCCAGCTGTCTTAGAAACACTGAGTCCCGGGGCTGAGAGCTTTAATGGACATGGACATGTGCTTGAAGGGTATCCGCATAGCTCCCATGCCCACGCTTTCAGCCGAGGCCGAGCACACTCGTAAACAGACGCGTCACTCAGCCAATTCCCATGGGTAGGGTAGGGCAGGGCAGGGCAGGGCGAGGCAGGGTCTTGCCAGCCCATGCATGGGGAGGCACTGCTCCGGTCCAGTCCACCTGTCCTCAGAAGTGCCTGCCTTTTAAAATCTGGAGAGTTTATAGAGCAGATGAGCAGGGAGCCGAGGCAAGCCCGTACAAGGAAGAGACTAACAAGCAAGAGGTTAGCTGCAGAGGACCAGCAGGCATGGTTTGGCCTTGAGCCTGACTGGAGTCCCTCTCTATGCCTTCTTGCCCTGGTCCAGAGTGAATCCTCCCTCCCACACTTGTGAGCCCTGCCCTACCTGCCCCCTCCCCACGACAAGCTTCTGAAGTATGTTCCTCCCTTCTCCCCTCTCCTTTCTCTGCAGATGGACACCTTTTTCCTTCCCCACCCACTTTCCCTGTGCTCTGGGAGATTACTCTCTGCTGGAGGGAGGAAGAGGGTTCATACATGTTCTCTCGATTATTATTCACGGCAGTAATAACCACAAACACCAATCTAGCACCATCTGCCAAATACTGTTTTCAGTGCCTTCTGTGTTTTAACTTTGAATGACATCAGAAGAAATGGCAGAGTAAGAATCTCCAAAAACCCTCTTCTCCATAAAAACAAGAACTCTGGCAAAATTGGTCAGAATATACTCTTTCAGAATGCTGGAAATTAACCAGTCTTGCAGTAATCCAGCGAGTGCTTCTTTGAGAAAAATAGGTGAATTTCAGTAAGAACGGGGAGTTCTGTGATACTTAAACTTGCTCTATTCCTGCTCCCCACTCCCCAACTCTGGCATAGGCTTGAAAACCAACAGCCTGCAAACGCTGAAAGTTTAGCGGCCTGGCAGTCCCCAAAGGGGACAGATAGAGCTGGAGCCCTTTCAAAGCCTCATTCCTGGAGAACTGTCATTATTTGATCTGTCTGGGGGTTCCCTGGAAGTCTCCCCCTTGCAAGGCTGTCTTTATTTGACCTGACGCTGAGCTCACTCAGTGGAAACAGTCTTTTTCTCAGGGGGCATTTGTCAAAAACAATTAGAAACAATTGTTTAATAGTGTTAATTAAACAAATGTTTAATTGTTTAATAGCTGTTTAACATTGCTTCCTGAGGCGTTATACAACAGTTAGGGCAAAGAGAAGGCTAACCAAAAAAGCTAGAGAATGAGATGTCCATAGGTGGCTTTGAGAAGTTCCAACATGTTCCAGAGAATTTAGAAGGCCTTATGCATAAGCGTGCTGTATGGTGTACAAGGAAAGGCCTGAGAAGGTCCTAAGCTCTCACCTTGGGCTGATCTTGAGGCTGTGGGCAAGCAGATAGTGCAAGCTAAGGCAGAAATATACGCTGCTGAGTGGAGCGCTTAGCTCTCTGCTTAGCACAGAGCCCCTCAGTAAAGACTGGGAGATGGATTCATTCCAAGCATTTTACAAAATGTGATCTGGTTCCCAAACTACCTGAGCAGAGATTTCAGTGGTCCAGCATGACAAAGGAAACAGACTTTACGAAATTAATTAAGTCGCTCAACGAACAGTAGCAAACTCCAACAAGAACAAGCCCTAGGGAAAGGTGGGACTCTGATTTCCAGAGTGGCTCATCATATTGTTTAAATATTCCAGCTTAAAATTTAAATTTTAAGTTAAAAAAAATCACAAGACATGCAAAGAAGTAAGACAGTATGGCCCATACATAAGGGGGATAAAACCAATCAACAGATCCTTAAGAAAGCCCAGATATTGGACCTACAGACTTTAAATCAGAATACGTTCAAAGAACTAAGGAAAAGTCTAAACAACAAAAGATGAGAATGATGTCTCATAATAGAAATTATCAATAAAGAGATAGAAATTACTGTAAAAGGATAGAATAGCGTGAGTTCAAGCCCCATGTTGCACTCTGCCCTGGGCATGGAGTCACTTAAAAAAAAATACTTTGGGGTGCCTGGGTGGTTGGTTAAGTGTCCAACTCTTGGTTTCCGCTCAGGTCATGTTCTCAGGGTCATGAGATCAAGCCCCACATTGGGCTCCATGCTCAACACAGAGTCTGCTTGAGATTCACTCTCCCGCTCCCTCTGTCCCTCCTAAATGTGCGCGCTCTCTCTAATAAATAAATAAATCTTTAAAAAAGAACAAACATACACACAAGAAAATAAACAAAAGTACCTAATAGAAATTCTGGAATTGAGAACTATAATAATTGAAATGGAAAATCCACTAGAAGCTTTCGAACACAGATCTGAGCAGGTGCAAAAAAGAATAAGTGAACTTGAAGATCGATCGATTGTGATTAGCTAGTGTGAGGAATAGACAGGAAAAAAGGAAGAAAAATGAACAGAGCCTCAGAGACCTGCGGGATAGTATCAAATGAGCAATATATGCATAATGGTGGTCCCAGAAGGAAGGGCGAGAGAAAGCAGCAGGAAGCAGAAAAGCAGAACAATAACGGCTGAAAAGTTTCTAAATTTGATGAAAAATATTGATCTATAAATCCATGGCACTTAACGCATTCTAGTAGGATAAATCCACACCTAGAGGCATCATGATCAAAACTGTTAAAAGATAAAGACCCAGAATCTTGGAAGCAGCAAGAAATGACTCATCACATACAAGGGATCTTATTAAGGTAGGATTTACAGCTGATGTTTTTCTAGAAACCATGGAGGCCAGAAGGCAGTGGGATGACAAAGAGAAATAAAGATGCACTCAACTAATCCTCACAAAATCCTCTATGAGGCCTGTACTATTATCATCATCCCACCTCACAGATAAACAAAATGAGGCACAGAGAGGTTGAGTCACTTGACTGGGGTCACACAATTACCATGGCAGAGCAGCTAGAGTTCATGCCCCTAAAATTCTCCTTCTTGGTCACTACATTAGACTACTTCCCAACAGCCCAGTAAGGAGGCTCACATTCTTCAGGTGGTTCTCATTCTACATGTGCGAAAGCTGAGGCTCAGAGTGGCCTTCCCAAAGCTACCCTTGTCACAAGTTCAACACCCAGGTCTCAAATCCAGAGCCCCTTGTCTCTCCAGCCCACTGCCATACAATACGCCCCACGGTACGTAGGAACAAAACTCCTAAAAGCTGCCAATCCAGGCAAACGCTTAGGAGGCCAACTTTTGACATGACATGGTTTGAAAGAAGCTCAACTAGGAGCTGGTTCCATAGAGGAGACTTTCCAAGGTCCCACTGAGCCACAGAACGCTGGAGGCTCTGAGGACATAAACTGTCTCATTTGGTTTTTCCCACCGACCCAAAAACAGAGTCTCTGAGGCTCTGTTCATTTTCTTCTTTTAGAAGAACTATCATGCAAAGATCGACATCTGAGGTTAATTCTAACACCTTCAGAGTAAGAGGAGGGCCTTCCCCCATTGTCAGGAGAGGCTGTCTGTCTCAAAGCCCAGTGAATCACCCCAGAGGGGACATCCCCTGCCTTTGGGTTGGGCAGAATGCTGTTTCTCTCAGGCTCTGTCTCTCCAGGCTAAGATAGCAAACTGCCCTAGTACCCCACATCCCATATGGCCTGTCCTCTCCTCCAGTACCTGGTGCAGGAACTGGAGCCATACCAAAGAGCATCAAGAATTTCAGGGACTCCCTTTCCCATCCACGTGAGCCCATGCTAGAGACCCAGGCCATAACCAGACGTTCCCCCTCCCCAGTAGAACAGCAATGCTCTGACCTTCTGGGCTTGGGTCTTGGGGATTTCTTCAACCCACTGGACAAAATTTCTCAATCCGAGTGGTAAGGGGAGACAGAGCACAGAGAAACCACTGTCGGGAGCACCAAGAACTACTTTTACAAAAAAGGGTGAAGACAACCCTGGCATTGATGCAAGTAACAAGTAAGTGAACTATTTTTTTTCCAATGCTTAAGTCACTAGTTCCCTTAGTTTTGTGTCAACCAACAAGGTTTGTTTTTTTTTTTTTTTTAAGATATTAAAGTCTGCATCAACCAGCACTGGGTACACTGATACATTCTCAGTGATAACCCAGAAGTACCCCTTAATCACAGAAGTTATCCCAACTATCAGAGGAAATCTGCATTAACTCAAGTTCAGGTTAGAGTCAAACATGCCTTTTGTTGTTGTTGTTTCAAATGGGCAGTTAGATATAGTTGTGTGTAATCATTCCCTAACCAGAATGCTTGCTTAGCAAGGACTCTCCAACCACAGTCAAGCTTAATAGATGAATTCACCATATTATTTTTAAAGATTTATTTTTGTTGATTAGAGAGAGAGCAGAGGGGAGGGGCAGAGGGAGAGCGAGAGCCTTAAGCAGACTCCAAGCCCAGTGCAGAGCCGGACATGGCGTTCAGTCTCATGACCCCAAGATCACGACCTGAGCTGAAACCAAGAGCTGGACACTCAACTGAGCCACCCACATGCCCTGAGTTCACCATATTTTTTAAGGAATAACCCACTTAAATTTTTAGACCACTGAGTCTTATGATGGTGTATGACAGACATTTCTGGAATACCGAAAAATAGAAATACAAACATTAGAGTCGCCATGGGCCATTTGCAGAGACAAAGGAGGCCGGAGGAACTTCCAGCTTCCTGATTATTAGCCGAGATCATCACCCTGACATTGGTATCTTCGCTGACTTGATCCAAAGCACTTGCTTCTTTGAATGCCCCCAGCGAAGGGGCTATCATCCATGAAGACCAAGCTCAAAGCCCTGAGCTTTATGCAGCTCTGACGGAAGCTCGGGAAAGGCCCGGAAGGACATCAGAAAGGCAGAAGCAGGACGACTCAGGACCTACACAGTTGTCAGAGAGCCGCCACTGCCCCTTCTCCTCCAAGCCCCTCACCTGTGACTAAGTGGCCCACACCGGGCCCATCTCTGGTGTCCTTCCTTGTCAAGCTGCTCTCGATGCCCAGTGTACACAGAACCCTGCAGACAAAGGGGCAGAAGCGAGGTCTGCCCACCTCAGCAGGACCCTGCGCAACCTTCAGTGACACAGGCAGATGCCCTGCTTGATTTTTCCTGAATGAGCATCTTGTTGGTGCTGGAAGTGTCTGGAATGGCACCTGGGTCTAACGTGTCCCCCCAACCCCTGCTGGGGTCATCAGGGACCATGAAGGGGCTTGTGGTCTTCCATGGGCAGCCATGGGGCCCTCGAGCTGATGTTACCCCCAGGTTCAGGGCAGAAGACGCTGGCCTACCTCACGTGCTAAGTTCAAGAGAGGGAACAGGGTTGGCCCAACCATTCTCGTGCCCTAAGCTCAGCCCGATCAGAGAGCATCGGAACCTTCCAGATGCCTGGTGTGGGAATCCCTCCCATTGGGTGTCTCCTATTCCACACGACGTGATATCATGTAATAGGGGAGGAGAGGGCGTAGGAGTGTCCCTGGGTCAATGAAGGGGAAAATCTCCCCCAGAAAATCCACAGGCAGGCTTCCTCAGACATGCAGCATCCCACTATGACCCGAGCTAAGACGGTTTTCATGCGCACGGCGGTCTGTCGGGCTGGAGCCTGCCACTGGTCTGGGGTTGGGGGGAGGCTGACAACACAAACACTCCCTCGGTGACAGCGGCCCAGCAGCCCGGAGCTGCCCAATAGCTCCATGCTTTGGTCGGGCTCTGAAGGGCCTTCATCTCACGGCCCTCGGCTCCAAAAGCTTTTAACTCCCGGATTGCGAGTAGTCAGGGAGGCAGCTGACCGTGAAATACACTTGAATCCAGTCGATTCTTTTCAGAAGGTTTTCAATGACAACTGAAATTGGCCCTTAAAGAATGAAACAGAAATGGTCCTTTGTCCAGAGGGAGACACACATGGCGACTTCCGACAGAGCACAAGCCATTCTGAAGCAGTGATTTAAAAGAATCTAGAGCTAATAATCTAACGAATAGAAGAGAGTTGCATTCTGTTTTAAAATAGCACCGGAAGCTGTGAGAGAGAAAAGAACAGCATTAATCTGACATCACCGCCGGCATTCAGACACCCCCAGGTAACTCTGCTCAAAAGGAAAGTGATTTAAATATAGAAGCTCAGAGAGATGGCTGTTTACCTCGCAGAATATTTACTGCTGCTAAACCCGGCTCATCTCCAAGGGTCATTTCCTTCTCCATCATGGGAGGAGAAGCAACCCTGACACTGGGGGAAGGGAGGACTGGGAGGCCATAGGCTTAAGTGGCAATAAGATGACTTAGGTCACATAGAAGAAAGCCTGCAGACCAATGAAAGCTATGATTTGGCAACACCTCTGGTAACTTTCCAAAGGACACCCAGCATCAATAATCATCTCAGGATAATTTAAATATAGCCTGAAAGTGAAGAAATGAATGCACAACCTAGAGGCCATCTAAACGAGGAGTGGAGGTGTTTTCTACTGAGCATCGTGGACCCACAGTAAAAAGAAATCAATGGAGGGCCTCACACAAATAAAAAGCAACCCAATTTAATTTTTTTAAAGAAACATAAAATTATATATATTTTTAAGATAACCATTCACCTGCTTCCTAAAAATAGAGTCAAGGATATTAAACTGTACTCCATAAGCAGTATGAATATCCTTTGATGTCAAGTTACAAGAGAAATTAAGGGAGAAAAATGGAAGAGAAATTATGCCTGAAATTGTGTTTAAAACCAGCACGAATCTCTTTGTTCTGAGTCCTTCCTCTGGGTCCCATCAAATCCAGATTTTTGGTACTGCTGTTCACAGATCTTCTATAGCTTTTTTGACACTAATCAGCTAGAACATGCACCTGCCAAGGGAGGTTGTGTCTGACCACAGGCGTCAAGAGTCTGATGAAATGACATAATGGTCGCTCACATTTGGCAATGGAATGGAATTCAATGGAAGTTCCCTACCCTCCACCCAAATCCATCCATTGGTCCACTCAGAAAAGCTCTCTGTGGAGCATTTTAAGAGACCTGGAGCAGGGCTTTCCAAACTGGGTGAGCATCAGAATCTTCTGGAAAGCTTTTGAAAAACATCACTTGCTTCATGGTCACACCCAGTGCATCAGGACGGGCCCGGATATCCTTAGGAAAGACAGCCCTAGATGTTGGTGTCAGCAGGCTTTCTCAACCTCAGCCCTACTGATAGACTGAGGCCAGTTAATTCTATGCTGTGAGGGTCTGTCCTGAAGTTGCAGGAATAGCAGTATTCCTGGCCTCTATCCTCTACATGCCAAGTTACCCCTGCGAGTTGTGACTCCAAATGGGTCTCCAGACCTTGCCCAACCAGGCCCAGGTGAGAACCACCATTTGGCTCTTTGTTGCTGGTACTCCCCAAAAAACGTGTTCCTGAGTCCCAGTTATCCATCTGCCTAATGGGCTCACTACCCACAGTACTCTGTGCCCTCTCGACTGGGTCAGCCTTTATTTCCTGAAGATCTCCTAGCCTCTTACGAAACCCCCCTATCCTACTGAAATTTTGGTGTAAGGGTGGATAAAGATGTTTGTTTTGGCTCAGATTCGGGGTTTAGGGTGAGGAGGGCCCCTGGGGGGGTGATATCACACTCACCCTCTCTTGGTGGAGCCTCTGGCAGGTCTGCAGGCCCTCCGGCTCAACTCACAGGCTGTCTCCCTCCTTTGCAGAGAAAAACTGTTCCTACTTCAGGCATTTTAGCCCAGGCAAGACCTCGGAGATCTTCGAAGTCACTACTCAGAAAGGTGAGTGGGTGGGCAAAAGCAGGGAGGGTCAGGAAGAGAACCCCCAGGCCAGACTGCTGAGCCACAAAGTCATTTGGCCCAAAAGCCCTGTCTTCGCTGCTTGCGAGGAAAAGCGGCTGAGCCTGACGCTCTGCGCTCTGAGAGCACAACCCGGGTGGCCCGCCATCCGGAGGGACCCTGGAAGGAGACGTTTCCTGGAAGGCCCCGCAGTCGTCTTCCTGCCGGGGCCCGGGGGAGGCCGGAGTGACCGGGAAATGGAACAGGACTCCAGCGGCCGGTGCTGGTCTTCAGGGCGGATCAGAGCCCGCGGGGAGCTGATTCCCTCCGTCGCCTGCCTGTCCCCCGCCCCATGGGGGGAATCCGGGGAGCGGCCCAGGGGTCTCGGAGCGCGTGTGCCGCGGGGGCCTTCTCCGCACGGGCGCGGGCCCTGCACACAGTGTGGGCACGCAGCGCGCACACGCCGGCCCGGAGAGAGCCTCGCGTGCCCGTGCACACACGAGCACGCCCGCTCGGGCAGTCTCTACACAGGCGGCGCGCGCACACACACAGACACACACACACACACACGATCACACGCAGGGCCCTGCAACAAACCACACCTGCCGCGGCTGCTAGGGGTCCCAGGGCAGACCACCCTCCCCCCCGAGGCTCCCTGGCTCCCAGGAAGATTTGTGTTCCAGAAAGCTCTGCGGCCACGTGCCCCCACCCCTCCCGCCGCCTGCTGCCAAGCCTCTGTCCCCCACCGAGGGGGAACATGTAGCTTCGCCACCACCCCCACCCTGGGAGTGGGAAGGGGGTCCTATTGCCCCCGCTGTGTGACTCTGAGTGAGGGGTTTCGTCGCGGACCCTCAGTGTGCTCCCCAGAGCCATGGGCACAAGGACGCGCGGCAGCAGCCGTCCGGCCGCCGAGAGGCCGCCGCTGAGCCGCGGTGCCGCGCCCGCCCCCTGTCCCGCAGAGTACAGCATCTCGGCCGCCGCCATCGCCGTCTTCAGCCTGGGCTTCATCATCATGGGGACCACGTGCGCGCTGCTGTCCTTCCGGAAGAAGCGGGATTACCTGCTGAGGCCCGCGTCCATGTTCTACGCCTTCGCAGGTAGCGCGGGGGCCCCGGCCCGGGCGAGGGAGAGCCGCTGCCGGCTCTGCGGCCACCTGGGGGTGGGGAGCCAGCCGAGGCCGGGCCGCAGCCCCCCCGGGGACGCAGATCCGGGCCGCCTGTGCGCTCCGCGCGGGAATCGGAGGGTGGGGCGGCGCCGAGAGCCAGGCTGGTCGCCAGCACTGACGGGAAGGATCGAGACGCTGCTGGCGCGCGGGCTGGGCGGCGGGCGGGGACCCGGGCGGCTGCGCAGGCTCCGGCCCCGAGCTCGGCCCGGGCGCTCTTGGCACCGGCCCTGAAGGTCCCGCTCCGCCCCAGGCCTGTGCATCTTCGTGTCGGTGGAGGTGACACGGCAGTCGGTGAAGCGCATGATCGACAGCGAGCACACCGTGTGGATCGAGTACTACTACTCCTGGTCCTTCGCCTGCGCCTGCTCCGCCTTCGTCCTCCTCTTCCTCTGCGGCCTGGCCCTCCTGCTCCTCTCCTTGCCTCGAATGCCCCAGAACCCCTGGGAGTCGTGCATGGACGCCGAGCCTGAGCACTAGCCCTCCCGGAGCCCCAGCCCCGCCTTGATGCTTTCCCCTCGGGAAGCCAGAGCCTGGCCCAGAACGTTCTAGAGAGGAGGCGGGAGCTTTCCCTGTCCCCGGTCCCACCCACCCCACGACGTCCACTGCTACTTCTGTCTCTGAGCCCTTCTCTGGGCTGTGACAGGCTCCCCTGGGAATCCAGAAAGTGGACATGATCCACACCTGCCCAGGGTGGGAGGGAGACCGCGGGGCTGGCAGGTGCACAGGTGTCTGGTGAGGACCCACCTTCCCCTGGAGCTGCCCGTGGGCCTCGCTGAGCCAGCTGTCTTTGATAAGCAGGGTCCAGGTGTCCTCCCTGAGCCCTATAGGGACACCCTGTGCTCATTTGCCAGTCCCGGTGTTGCCTGTGTAAATAGCCAGCCCCTCCCTCCTTCTCTGGGACAAGACACCCTTTCCAGTGAACTGAACGTTCCCTCCTTGGTTTCCAAGACACCTGAGGAGCATTTTTTAACTGGGTAGAGTCTGACTATGTTTGAAATAAAAGCTCTTTGAAAACTTACTTTTTCCTTGCACCTTGCATACAAATTGCTTGGTTGGATTCCTGACCTTAGATGGCCCAGGGGCCCCATGACCCTGAAGTGGGAAGAAAAGCATGTCCCCCTGGCGTTGTTCCCTACTTTTGTAGGGAAGCACGTGGATGATGGGGAGGGGGGGATGACGGGATAACGGGGTCTTGTTTACCAATAAGACTTAGAGGTTCTGAATTCCAGCTTGGATCGCTGGGCCCTGGGATTTTCTTTGGGAGAAACCAGAGACCATCTGACTAGGCAAGGGTGTTAAAAATAAGGAGGGGTTATTTCCAGAGCCCCAGCATGCCAGACTCCGAGTGCTAACACAGCACTCCAGCGGCGGCACACCCGGGTCTGATTTCAGATGCTGGATTTTTGTTGCCATGAACGTCAGGAAGCAGGGCTTAGCAGTTAGACACCTAGGGTCCCCCAGAGTGTCACAATTTACACTTTCTACCTTCCAAACCCCATCCTATTCACCCAACCCTCAGAAATGGTAAGTCAGACACAGATGGCAGAGGGGATCCCCATGCTCCTTGCCTTGAACACGCACCAGCAGTCCTGGGGAGCCCTCCTTCCTCTACAGCAGGGGTGGCAAACTTGGCCGGCAGGGCCACACCTGGCCTGCCGCCAGCTGTGATATAGTCTGCAAACTAAGAATGGTTTTTACAATTTTAAATGGTTTTTAAAAATCAAAAGAAGAGGGGCGCCTGGGTGGCTCAGTGGGTTAAGCCTCTGCCTTCGGCTGAGGTCATGATCTCAGGGTCCTGGAATCCAGTCCCATATCGGGCTCTCTGCTCTGCAGGGAGCCTGCTTCCCCCTCTCTCTGCCTGCCTCTCTGCCTAATTGTGATCTCTCTCTGTCAAGTAAATAATATCTTTTTAAAAAAAAATCAAAAGAAGAATATTTTATGATATTTGGAAAGTACTTCCATTTCATTGGCCGTATAATAAAGTTTTATTGGAACTGTCAAGGAAAAAATTGCTCAAGGATGCCTGGGAGGCTCTGTTGGTTGAGCGTCTAGCTTGGTTTATCTCAGGTCATGATCCCAGAATCCTGGGATCGAGCCCCGCGTCGGGCTCCCTGCTCAGCCGGAAGACTGCTTCTCCCTGTGCCCCTCTGTCTCTCTCTGTCCCTCTCTGTTTCTCATGAATAAACAAATGAAATCTTCTTTTAAAAAAGAAAAGAAAAAATCACTCAAGTGGTAAGGGCTTATTTTAATCAGTAATAAACTCTTGCAATAGGGAAGAATCCGGTATAAACCATGACAAGCCATCTGGCTCACACTACCTGACCCTTTCTGGAAACAGTTTGCTGAACCCTTTTCTGGAGTAACCGTATACTCGTCAGTCAGCTAATTCACCTCTCGCTGTTCCCATCGGTGATGGGAGAGCCAAGAGACCCATTTGTTCTTAGAACAATTTAAAAAGAAGAAGCTAGGAGCACCTGGGTGGCTCAGTGGGTTAAAGCCTCTGCCTTCAGCTCAGGTCATGATCCCAGGATCCTTCCATTTCAGTGTCTGTATAATAAAGTTTTATTGGAACTGTCAAGGAAAAAGTCACTCAAGGATGCCTGGGAGGCTCTGTTGGTTGAGCGTCTGCCTTGGTTTGTCTCAGGTCATGCTCCCAGGATCCTGGGATCGAGCCCTGCATCGGGCTCTCTGCTCAGCGGGGAGTCTGCTTCCTCCTCTCTCTCTGCCTGCCTCTCTGCCTACTTGTGATCTCTCTCTCTGTCAAATAAATAAATAGAATCTTTAAAAAAATAAATAAAGGAAGAAGCATGAGTCTGGGGACATCTGGCGGGTCTCGTGGTAGGGCTTGTCCAGATGCCTCCCTGTTGTCTCAAGGCTTTGGGCTGGGCTTGCGGGGCTGGCCCAGGAGCCTGGGGGACAGAGAGCACAGCCCAGCCTTCTCTGCAGCCATGGGCGGTGCAAATGGCTGTCACATGATTGTGAAAGCAAAAGGATCAAAGAGAGCAGGGTGACAAAATGTCAGGAAGCCAAAGCCGGGACCTGCAGAGAAGGGGGGTGGGGCAGGTGAGTCCTGGAGGACACTGCACGGCCCCACGTGGCCCTACAGCCACCGGCAGGTCACTGTCCCAAAGAGGCAGAGACAGAATCCGAGAGCAAACATGCTGCAGGTAAGAGAACGGGAAAACGCAAGTCTGGGCCAGCCAGGGAGTTGGGGCCACAGTTTAGGAGTAGGAAGGAAGACAGATGACCTCATCCCACAAACTCCATTTTGGAAGTCTGTGTTATCGTCGGTGTGCATTTTACACCCTTATGTGGGCGCCCGTGTTTTCGGCACCACAGACCCCCCTGAGTGGAATACCAGCCGAACAGATTACGTTTGGTTTCCCAGGACTTGAACTCCTTCGAGAGTTTCCTAGGTGCGCCCGAAGCTGCTTTGCACACAAAAGCATCCGAGGGAAGCTGGCAGAGACTCACGTGTGATCGCATCTGCTCCAGCTTCTGCCATGGGGAGAAATATGCCACAATAAGGCAAAACAGAGCCCGATGCCAAAAGAGAAGCAGGATCCACCAAACCAAGGAAGGAAAACGGGCTTCTCTCCCCGGCCCACTGACCTACGCTTGCCAGGAAGGGGGTCGGTCCACAAGGGGCAGTCGGTCCATCTTCCTCCGCTTGGGTCCGGCTCGGGATGCCGGGCATCCCCTGGGGTACAGTCAGACCACGCTCTGAGGACCCCCAAGCTAAGCTATCACACAGGGCTTCTGCCCCCTCGCTTGGGTTGTGTGCATGTCACGGCCACCGGATCAAGATCTCACACACCTTCACTCTCTTGGCTCTTTCGAATTCACTGGATTCCCTGAGGACCCAGGACTAGCCATTTGGTTATCGAGAAACATTTGCGTGTGAGATTTCTTTTTTTAACTGTGGTAAAATACACAAAGCATAACATGTACCATCTTAACCGTTTTTTTGTTTTGTTTTGTTTTGTTTTGTTTTGTTTTTTAAGACTCATTTGCTTGAGATAGAAAGAGTGGTGAGGAGGGGTAAAGGGAGACTCTGCACTGGGCGGGGAGCCCGACACGGGGCTCCATCTCACAACCCTAAGATCACGACCTGAGCTAAAACCAAGAGTCGGACGCTCGACCGACAGGTGCTCCCCCCACCATCTTAACCACCTCTAAGTGTGCACGTCAGTAACGTTAAGCACATTTACATTGTCATGCAACCCGTCTCCAGAACTCTCCATCATCCTGAACTGAAACTCTGCCCCCACTAACCAACTCCCTGCTCCCCATCTCCAAGCCTGGGGTAACCACCATTCTCCTTTCTGTCTCTATGAAGTTGGCTACTCCAGTGAAATCATACAGTATTTGTCCTTTTCTGTCTGGTTTATCTCACTTAGCATCCTCCAGGTTCATCCACACGGAGTCTGTATCAGAATCTCTTTCCTCTTCAAGGCTGAGTAGTATTCCATCGTATGGCTGATTCTACCACGTTTTGCTGATCCAGTCATCCGCTAATGGACACTTGGGGGCTGCCACCTTCTGGCTCTTGTGAATAATGCTGCTGTGAACATGGGCATTCAAGTGTGTCTTCATGACTCTGTTTGCAATTCTTCTGGATATCTACCAAGTGTGACATTTCCTAAATCAAAACTATTGCAGTGCTGTGAATTGTGTAACCCTGATGATTCACAGACCTGTACCCCTGAAGCAAATAACACATTATGTTAATTTTTTTTAAAAAAAGGAAAGGAATAAAAAAACTATTGGAAAATATCCATGATGAATACAATACAGAGGCTTTACGTGAAGACAGGATCCAAATTATTGCTTTGTCCTACTGTCATGCTTGTGGGGTGTGGCGTCACGGGGGAAAAGTAGCCACAACCGTCCCCATGTACACAAGAGAAAACTGATGCGAGGCTGCTGCTTTGCTAATGTCTAAGCAGGACCCTTTACCAGTCAGTCCTTGCCTGACCTCTGTCCAGTAACCGGGACAGGGGAGGGGAGACATCTCACCCTCTCTTTGGCTAACTCATAGAAGGTCCTGACCAAGCGGTCTGGCTCTTACTAATCCCTCCTTGAGACTAAAACTTTCAAGGACCCGGGTGTCCCTCTATTTTTCCTGACTGCCCCAATAAAGTTGGATTTTAACCACATCATACTGCAGCAATATTTCCCCTGCCAGTGTGGCCTGTCCCATTTGGATCAAATATTTTATTTACAAATTCATTTCTAATTTATACCCTGCCCACTTTCAGAAAAGATCTGAAGCAGAGGCAAGGACTAAGAAACCCGCGACGTGGAACGTATCATTACACTGATGGCTGCTGTTCAGGTAGGGATGCAGCTGCCTACAGCCCCCTCTTGCCCACATTTCATGGTGTCACCCGTTTGCAGCCACTAAGGCCATAAATTCATCCCCACACAAGGCATGGCTCCTGCAGTAGCATTTTGTACTTTGAGCCTCTGCTCCTTCTAGAAATTCCCCGTATTTTTCTCTTTGCCCTCTTTTTCTTTACAGGGTTCCTGCTCTTCCCACCCACCCCTTACACTTGCGGGTTTCCAAGTCTCCCATCTTCAGCCTCCTCATCCCACATGACAGTGGCTGAGAAATGTCACTCTTTCCCCGGCCCTGGGAGCCCATCCCGGCCTGTGCCTCCTTCTGTACCCCAGACCCTCCAGGGCACCCCAGACACAGATGTCCAGACCCAACCTCTCACTTCTTACCCAAACCTCCTCTCCATTTTTTGTTGCTTCCGTTGGGTGGCGTCTTGACTACCCG